CAACCTCCTTCTATGATAAACTCCCCTTTCTTAGTAACTACAATTGCCTTTTCTTTTTTCTTTTTTTTCGTTTGCGATAATTTATTCCACTTGTTCCACTGGCTATAGTGGAATGGACTGCCACCGGCCTCACGCTCCTTATTTTCTCGATTGAAAAAAAAACCTGCAGCTTAAAATCCTTTGGCCTGTGACGTGCAAGTCAAGGCAGCTTCAGTGCCACGTCTCTTACAACACGATCCCGACCCGTGGAGGTCATCTCGAGTCAAATCTTGCCCTTCAAAATACGCTTCTTTTCCTTATAGCCGTAGTCGCATTTCCGCAATTCCAATCGAGTCCCCTGAGGGACGTTTGTACCGAGAGGCTCTGGGAACGAGAGAAGACGTTACTTCCTTCGTAGCAGCACATTTTTCCGAGAAAGCCGGAAGTGTTGTCTCTCGATTCATTAGAAGACAAAATGATACCGCAACTGAAAAACAAGCGATTACGCGAATTATACAAGGAGGCAGAGTTTGACAGGGAACACCAAGAAGTGAAAGAGATAGAGGAAACAGTGAGGCACTTGGTGCAAGAAATTGCAGAAAACATCGCCGAAAAGGACCCACTTTTGAAGAACACCACTCTCCAGAGCGGAAGTTTTTACGAGGATCTCAAAGTAGAGGGGCCTGATGAGTTTGATTTTATGATATGCCTGGAGGAATTGTCCACACCCGGGGTTTGCGCGATAAGAGCAATTCCTCGCTCAGTTCAAGATCCAGGCTACGTTCATGTTGAAATACAAGACCCTGTCTCACGGAAGAGGTGGAAAAGATACACCTCAAAGAGGAAGGTAAATTTCTTGAAACCAGAAACACTGCTGGAGAAGTTTAAAGACCTGGTCGATGAAGTTCTGACAGAGAAAAAGGAACATTTCTCTGAAAAGCTGGCGAAGGAGTTTGAGGCCGAACTCAGGAAAATTCCAGTTACACNTTGTTTGTTTGTTTGTTTGTTTGTTTGTTTGTTTGTTTGTTTTCAAGTTGATAAAGAAGCGCTTTCTGAGGCTTACCACCTCCTGAGCTCCTCTCTCTCAAGAGAGTATCTTGTCAACCTCCTTCTATGATAAACTCCCCTTTCTTAGTAACTACAATTGCCTTTTTTTTTCTTTTTTCTTTCTCTTTCGTTTGCGTTAATTTATTCCACTTGTTCCGCTGGCTATATTTGAATGGAGTGTCACCGGACCCCCGCTCCTTGTTTTCTCGATTGAAAAAAACAAAACCCGCAGCTTAAAACCCCTTGGCCTGTGACGTGCAAGTTAAGGCAACTTCAGTGCCACGTCTCTTACGACACGATCCCGACCCCGTGGAAGTCATCTCGAGTCAAATCTTAACCTTCAAAATTACGCTTCTTTTTCTGATAGCCGTAGTCGCATTTCCGCAATTCCAATCAAATCCCCTGAGGGACGTTTGTACCGAGAGGCTCTGGGAACGAGAGAAGACGTACTTCCTTCGTTCAGCATCTTTTTCTGAGATAGCCGGAAGTCTTGTTTCTCGATTCATCAGAAGACAAAATGATGCCGCAACTGAAAAACAAGCGATTACGCGAATTATACAAGGAGGCAGAGTTTGACAGGGAACACCAAGAAGTGAAAGAGATAGAGGAAACAGTGAGGCACTTGGTGCAAGAAATTGCAGAAAGCATCGCCGAAAAGGATCCACTTTTCACGAACACCATTCTCCAGAGCGGAAGTTTTTACGAGGATCTCAAAGTCGAAGGGCCTAACGAGTTCGATTTTATGATATGCCTGGAGGAATTGTCTACACCCGGGGTTTGCGCGATAAGAGCAATTCCTTTTCGCTCAGTTCAAGATCCAGGCTACGTTCATGTTGAAATAGAAGACCCTGTCTCTCGGAAGAAGTGGAAAAGATACACATCAAAGAAGAAGGAAAATTTCTTGAAGCCAAAAACACTGCTGGAGAAGTTTAAAGACCTGGTCGATGAAGTTCTGACAGAGAAAAAGGAACATTTCGCTGAAAAGCTGGCGAAGGAGTTTGAGGCCGAACTCAGGAAAATTCCAGTTACACTGAAACTCACCTGGAACGGAACTGAATATAAAAACTATGAAATTTCTGTCGACTTAGTCGTATGTATCAGGGTGAATGGATGGCCGGAAGATTCTAACGTGAAGGATCGTTGTAACAGATCCCATCCCGGGTACGAGATGATCAGGAAAGCTAGCCAAGGAGGGTACCATCTTATTGCATCCTGTATCGGAGAGGCGGGTAAGCCAAGGCCTTGCTGGCGATTGTCATTTTCTCAAGCGGAGGGAATATTATTGAGACAGCTTTGCAAAAACTCCTCACT